TGGTGCCACCTCAGAATCTAACCGCGCAGCTGGGGAGGGGGAGCCCTTGCCACGCACGCAGCAACATCTCCTTGCACGCATTGAGGTACGACTGCAAAGTACCTAGCACAGCAGAGTTGCTTGTATTATGACCATTGGCTTCTTTATTTTGCAGGAGCCAGCAGGTGATGGCGTAGAGCTGGTGAGTAGGGCTTGAAGTAATGGTTAACAATAGTAGAGGTGGCTTCTGCTTGGCAGTGTCGGAATATGGGCTCGGCTCGGCATACACAACGTTTGTTCTGGCACGCAGGTGTGCCCGGCGGACCACCACTGCCCCTTGCTGAAGGTTCCCGGCTTCCAAACCAAGCATGGCCTGCACTACGACCCTATGCATACTTGCGCCGGTGTCATCAAGGACATCTTCGACTTGGTGCTGACAAGTTCTCGTGTCTCGGTTAGCATCCGCGAGTGAGTTGGCATGGAAACGGGTATGGACGAAATGAGGGTCCCTGAAGAATGGGTGTCATTTAGGACATGAGATAACAGACACGGGAACCTAAGGATGACCCCTGCTGTCTAATACACTCTGCTAGACTTAGCTTGCTGAGGCTCTCCGCGCCCAACTGCAGGTGGGAAGTCAAGGTCAATCGCCGGCGTCAGTGGGGGGAGGGCCATTACCCATGGCGTGTGAGCCGCGATGGTCACGAGGCCATGGCTGACTTTGCAGATGAGCTGTCTAAGCTTCTTCCCGCTCGCAAAGGTGGCGGTGTGAGGCTTCGGGCCATGTTCAAGGGGAGCAAGAAAACCAAAATGGCAACTTATTGCTTCTGGGCCAGCCCGTACGGCACCTATTTGATGGAGGTCAGCGGAATACAGCCAGTGCAACGCCAGACCATTCAGCAGCTTCTATGCGTCATATCCTTCCTTTGCGAGGATGCTGTACAAGCCTCCCTGGTTCCCGAAATTCGGTCTGCTGTTGTTCGGGCTCTCTGCTTGGTAGAGCTGAACCTGCCATGCTGCGAGCTAGATATTAAGCTTCACAACCTTATCCACCTTGCTGAACGCATTCTTGACCTAGGGCCGGCCTATACGACAGCAATGTGGGGGTACGAAGCACTGTGGCGTTATGTCAACATGCTAATGAAGAAGCGTGACACCCCCGAAACATCAGCTATGTTCAGCTGGTGCCACATGGAGGCTGCCCTCTTACTTGATGGCAGTGTTATGGAGCAGCTTGCTTACCGTGACTTCTTACCACGTTTTGATCCTGACGTGGTAGAGGGCTCTATGCACCAACAGCAGCGCGTCTACTGGACGGTAGATAACGAGGATTGCCCTGAGGTGCAGACGTACCCATTTCCCAGTGCCACAACTGGTCTCGTTACCGGCCAGCTCTCAGCTCAGGAGCTGTACGAGCTCCACCTTGCGTACATTGAGCGTGATACGCTTTATGAGGCAATGTTCGCGCTGTTCCTACAGTGGCTTTGGGACCAATGGCGGTCGGACAATACCTGCATGTCCGAACCCGTCTTGGTGCAGCTCCAAGGGACCAGGCTAAAGCGGCGGACTGAAGTCCTCCAAAAGAGCCGGGATGGCAAGCTGGCATTCCGGAACCTGGTAAGACTGCGGGGTGGTGAAGGAGGAAGATGGAAACGCACATGTGCTTTAGCTGCATACATCTGGGTGTAGCCTGCTTGCCCTTAACCGTGAGCAGGTTGTCAGGATTTACTTATGAGTGTGATTATAGGGTTTGAGAGGCCCCATGTTCGTGCATGTTTCTTTCCTGGTTTGCCTCCCTGTCGCCATCGTCTCATGGCCCGTTTTCAGCATCTGGAGGCAACGCCTGCCCTTCTACGCATGCAGGGCTTTGCGGCTCGGTGTTTACGGGAGCTCTGGCCCCTATATGACCTGTGGCCCCCGCTTGACAAGGCCGAGGAGGCTTCGGAATGGCGTGAAAAGTACAGCCTGTGTCTTGAAGGGTCCTTCGTGGAGCGCCTGTCACGTATTACCTTAAACGGCAAGGTGGAGCTATCGGCAGACAGCTGGTTTATCACCCGTGCATGCAAGGCAAGCCAGCACATGTGGGCAGGCCGTGTGAGGAACATATTCCGGTACACGTCACCGCTATCCCCCGAAGCTACGGTCTATGACACCATTCTCGAGGTGGAGTGGCACGAGCCTATGGTCACTGGGTCTGGTGATCAGATCGTCGACCCTGGCATGAATGTACCCCTAGTTCACGGCCGTGTCGCCTCGAATGACGCAGCACCAACGCGGTATTACTTTGCTGTTGATGTTGCCCCGGTAGAGGTGCATGTGCTGCCGCACCCGTCTCGTGCAGGCGCCATGTGTGTGCTGTCGAAAGATTTCTCTTTCATGCGTGTTGCGGGATGGCAGCCATTGAAGCCCATGAGCGCTTTTGCGGCAGCCAACTAGATTTGCATGCGGTCAAGGCTTTAGCGCTGGAAGACTGGACTCTATCCTCTCAGCAGTTTAGTGCTTTGGACTGAATGGAAACACTTGTAGGTTGCGTATGGCACGTCTGAGCCCAATGCCTGCTTTTGGCGATTGAGGGCTGCTTAGGTTGCGTTCGTTATTAGTCAGCGTTGCAGACTGTGTCATGCTACGGCCGCCCCTGCTTTGAATCCTGGCATTGTAGGCATGTAGAGGCCAATGCTAGCCGCGTCCATGCATGCAGGGCTTATCTTCTGAAGGAAACAGTGCAGTGCCTGTGTGGCCATGGCAGATGCCTAGTTTGTGGGGTTAGGGGGCCCTTTGGGCCTCATATTGCCTGAAAAAGAACTGCGGCGTCATGGTTAGCTTGCGAAATGGATGCCTGCTTTTGGCGATTAAGGGCTGTAATGCTTAGGTTGCGTTCGTTATTAGTTGTCGTTGCAGACGGTGTCACGCTATGCTTCAGTTGCGTCACGTCTAGTGCTAAGGTTGTGTCCAGTGTAATGCTTAGGTTGCGTTCATTATTAGTCATCGTTGCAGGCAGTGTCATGCTACGTCCGCCCCTGCTTTGAATCCTGGCATTGTAGGCATGTAGAGCTCAATGCTAGCCGCGTCCATGCAGGGCTTATCTTCTGAAGGAAACGGTGCAGTGCATGTGTGGCCATGGCAGATGCCTAGTTTGTGGGGTTAGGGGGCCCTTTGGGCCTCATATTGCCTGAAAAAGAACTGCGGCGTCATGGTTAGCTTGCGAAATGGATGCCTGCTTTTGGCGATTAAGGGCTGTAATGCTTAGGTTGCGTTCGTTATTAGTTGTCGTTGCAGACGGTGTCACGCTATGCTTCAGTTGCGTCACGTCTAGTGCTAAGGTTGTGTCCAGTGTAATGCTTAGGTCGCGTTCATTATTAGTCATCGTTGCAGGCAGTGTCATGCTACGTCCGCCCCTCTTTGAATCCTGGCATTGTAGGCATGTAGAGCTCAATGCTAGCCGCGTCCATGCAGGGCTTATCTTCTGAAGGAAACGGTGCAGTGCCTGTGTGGCCATGGCAGACGCCTAGTTTGTGGGGTTAGGGGGCCCTTCGGGCCTCATATTGCCTGAAAAAGAACTGCGGCGTCATGGTTAGCTTGCGAAATGGATGCCTGCTTTTGGCGATTAAGGGCTGTAATGCTTAGGTTGCGTTCGTTATTAGTTGTCGTTGCAGACGGTGTCACGCTATGCTTAAGTTGCGTCACGTCTAGTGCTAAGGTTGTGTCCAGTGTAATGCTTAGGTCGCGTTCATTATTAGTCATCGTTGCAGGCAGTGTCATGCTACGTCCGCCCCTGCTTTGAATCCTGGCATGTAGAGCTCAATGCTAGCCGCGTCCATGCAGGGCTTATCTTCTGAAGGAAACGGTGCAGTGCCTGTGTGGCCATGGCAGATGCCTAGTTTGTGGGGTTAGGGGGCCCTTTGGGCCTCATATTGCCTGAAAAAGAACTGCGGCGTCATGGTTAGCTTGCGAAATGGATGCCTGCTTTTGGCGATTAAGGGCTGTAATGCTTAGGTTGCGTTCGTTATTAGTTGTCGTTGCAGACGGTGTCACGCTATGCTTCAGTTGCGTCACGTCTAGTGCTAAGGTTGTGTCCAGTGTAATGCTGAGGTCGCGTTCATTATTAGTCATCGTTGCAGGCAGTGTCATGCTACGTCCGCCCCTGCTTTGAATCCTGGCATGTAGAGCTCAATGCTAGCCGCGTCCATGCAGGGCTTATCTTCTGAAGGAAACGGTGCAGTGCCTGTGTGGCCATGGCTGATGCCTAGTTTGTGTGGGTTAGGGGGCCCTTTGGGCCTCATATTGCCTGAAAATGAACTGCGGCGTTATGGTTAGCTTGCGATATGGATGCCTGTTTTTTGCGCTTGAGGGATGTATTGTATCCCCAGCGAGGTCGTGCGGTGAACTGGAACGGTTGTACGGACAGGGAGGGCAGTCGGTACGGCAATCCCATGCATGCTTAGGTTGCGTTACGTCTAGTGCTAAGGTTGTGTCCAGTGTATTGCTTAGATTGCGGTCGGTATAAGTTGGAGCTTGTGCACACGTCCTCATGCTACGGCCGCCCCAGCTTTGGGTGATTGATACGGCATGTAGAGCCCGATGCTAGCCACGTCCTTGAATGGCTTATCTTCGTTCTGAAGGAAACGGTACAGTGTCTGTGTGGCCATGGCAGATGCCTAGTTCGTGAGGTTAGGGGGCCATTCGGGCTTCACATTGTGTGAAAAAGGACTGTGGCCTCATGGTTAGTTTGCAATCTGGATGCTTGCTTTCAGCGCTTGAGGGATGTATAAATAAACTGGTGGAAGTTATTCAGGCCTCACTTGTGGCGGGAGCCAATCCTGGCCTAGGGGTCGCATAACTTGTGCGAAGTGCCCAATCACAAGAAGTAAGCGATGCTTTCGTTAACAGCAATCGGCCATAATTAGACAGAGAGCCTGTTGTTCTTGCGTTCTCGGTTCGGATGTACGGCGTAGCTTGAGCTACGCCGTACACGCTCCACCAAGGGATGTGGCTCTCTTATCAAACATCCTCAAGATAAAGGTGTAAAGATAAAGGCGATTCATTCACACATAAATAGTTGACTTCATAGGATTCGTTGTGCACACCCTACGGAACTTGACCAGCTGTTTTCCTGTAGCATGTGAGCCATTTCAGTAACCTATACGCATATAAGAGCTGTTTAGGAAGTAGGCATGGATTGTCTTCCAACGTCGTTTGAAGTTTGTGTTACTCGTTCACGGAAGGCCGCTGTCAACGCTCAGGATAGGTTAAACGACTACATTAAAGCAAAGTCCTTGGTTTGCGTCGAGCTATATCGGACGGCTGTCTTTATATCAAGCCAGAGGAGGGGAACGACTCTCCAATTTGAAGGCTGGCAGGCAGATGTCCCCGGCAATGCCAGCCCAAGCACTCTATACAATCTAAAATTTAAAAAGAAGGGCTTTGAGGTAAGCTGCGGACACGAAAACGTTGGTCGATGCGACAATAGGGATGCTAACGTCTTCTTTCACAGGAATGCTCCTTGGTGGAGCTCCTAGGGTCCCAAATCAGCAACCTCGATTCCTTTAGATCCGTTCTCCACAAGGGCGCAGACGTGTTTGTGCAAAAATGTTTGGAAGACAAAGGAATTTACTCCCCATCAGCTCAGCTGAACTACGTAACCTACCTTGCGGAGGTGACACGTCCAAGGGGTCATGAGATAGGCACTGCAGGTGGCTATTTCTGGCTACAGAAACCCTGGCTCAAGAAAAAGAAGGTGAGTGGTAGCACCAGAGTCCAAGACATGCATGCAAAGCACCAGGCTCACAAGTGTATGCCTACCAGGAGCTGGAGAATGCTTTTGCAGCAGGCAGCCAGACAGCTCAGGCAGTCAGCAGTGTTCAGAATAGGCGTTTTATTCCCACAGCTTCGCGCACTCTTCAGGCGCAAACTGGCCTAGGCTCACTGGGTGGTGCCTCCAGCAGTATGCACGTTGCAGCGGCTGCACCCTCCACACGATTGGTGCCTTGGCAAGCCTCGGGGCAAGTGAGGCAAGCCCCAGCCAACGTACAGCTGGCCTAAGCCGCTGCACAAGCCCTGTACTGTTAAGTGAGGTGGGTGCGTTGAAGAATGAACACTGACAGCCCTGCCGGCAAGATAATATTTTGGGTAAATGGTGTATGACATGCTATACATCCCTCTCAGGAAGCACAAGGCTCCGCCGAGGGAGACTGGGGGGCTGATCTCCAGGGCCAGCGGTTAATGAGCTTATTTGAGATGGAGCCAGATGAAGAACGCCTTGGCGATAGGGAGGCCTCGCCACTCACCAGAAGTCCCAGCTGGGAGGTGAGTGCAGCCGCTGCACGGCCATTCAGACCGCAAGCTAAGAAGCGTGCGCATATCGGCGTGCATCTGCAACAGGCCCGTTGCCTGTTGTGTCGCATGCACGGGCTGCACCGCATGTCCCCAACACTGGCCGAACCCTCAGTCTCCCACCTCTGTTGCTCACTACACACGCTCTACACCACCTCACCCCTGTCCCAGGTTCCTTGCCCCTCGCCACTTCCGCAGCCGCAGGCCTACCCTCGCCTGGCTGGACTCATTAGAAGCCGTCGAAAAGGCGTTGCAGGCAACTCGTCCGCCAGGAGTCCCCGCTCAGAGGTCAGCATGCCGGCATTGCATGCAGCACTTGACGGTGGCCCGACGTTGGGCATTTCGAGGCAGCTCATTTTGCGTGCTGTCAACAGGATTGCACGCTCCCTTCTCCACCCGCCCCTGTCCCGCGTTCCTTTCCCCCCGCAGGCCTCCCCTCGCGCCGATGGACTCCTTAGCGGCAGTCCTCAGGGCGGTGCAGGCAACTCGTCGGCAAGGAGTCCCCGCTCAGAGGTAAGCATGCCAGCCTCGCATGCATGCAGCATTTGACGGTGGCTCGACGTTGGGGATTTCGGGGCAGCTCCTTTTTCTTGCTGTCAACAGGATTGCACGCTCCCTTCTCCACCCGCCCCTGTCCCGTGTTCCTTGCCCCCCGCAGGCCTCCCCTCGCGCGGGTGGACTCCTTAGTGGCCGTTCGCAGGGCGGTGCAGGCAACTCGTCGGCAAGGAGTCCCCGCTCAGAGGTAAGCATGCCAGCCTCGCATGCATGCAGCACTTGACGGTGGCCCGACGTTGGGCATTTCGAGGCAGCTCCTTTTGCGTGCTCCCTTCTCCACCCGCCCCTGTCCCGTGTTCCTTTCCCCCCGCAGGCCTCCCCTCGCGCGAATGGACTTCTCAGCGGCAGTCCTCAGGGCGGTGCAGGCAACTCGACGGCAAGGAGTCCCCGCTCAGAGGTAAGCATGCCAGTTGACGGTGGCTCAACGTTGGACATTTCCGGGCAGCTCCTTTTGCCTGCGTCAGATAAACGGGTAGCTCTGCGTTGACCGGTGCCATACGCCTCCGTTCCTCTGATTGCCGCACGTCTCTTACCTGTACTGTAGCATGCTGGGCTAAATCGTATGTCGTTAGCACTGGCCGAACTCTCCGTCTCCCACTTCCATTGCTCACCGCGCGCGCCCTCACCCATCCGCCCCTGCGAGGATTTCAAGCGCCCTCACCCATCCGCCCCTGCACAGATGACGCGCTCCCTCCCCCTCCCGCACCTGCTCCGCGTTCCTTGCCCCCCGCAGGCCCCCCCTCGCGCGGATGGACTCCTTAGCGGCAGTCCTCAGGGCGGTGCAGGCAACTCGTCCGCCAGGAGTCCCCGCTCAGAGGTAAGCATGCCAGCCTCGCATGCATGCAGCACTTGACGGTGGCCCGACGTTGGGCATTTCGAGGCAGCTCCTTTTGTGTGCTGTCAACAGGATTACATGCTCCCTTCTCCACCCGCCCCTGTCCTGCGTTCCTTGACCCCCGCAGGCCTCCCCTCGCGCGGATGGACTCCTTAGTGGCCGTTCGCAGGGCAGTGCAGGCAACTCGTCGGCCAGGAGTCCCCGCTCAGAGGTAAGCATGCCAGCCTCGCATGCATGCAGCACTTGACGGTGGCCCGACGTTGGGCATTTCGAGGCAGCTCCTTTTGTGTGCTGTCAACAGGATTACATGCTCCCTTCTCCACCCGCCCCTGTCCCGTGTTCCTTGACCCCCGCAGGCCTCCCCTCGCGCGGGTGGACTCCTTAGTGGCCGTTCGCAGGGCGGTGCAGGCAACTCGTCGGCAAGGAGTCCCCGCTCGGAGGTAAGCATGCCAGCCTCGCACGCATGCAGCACTTGACTGTGGCCCGACGTTGGGCATTTCGAGGCAGCTCCTTTTGCGTGCTGTCAACAGGATTGCACGCTTCCTTCTCCACCCGCCCCTGTCCCGCGTTCCTTGCCCCCCACAACTACAGCACCAGCAGGCACCCCCTCGCGCGGATGGACTCCTTAGTGGCCGTTCGCAGGGCGGTGCAGGCAACTCGTCGGCCAGGAGTCCCCGCTCAGAGGTAAGCATGCCAGCCTCGCATGCATGCAGCATTTGACGGTGGCTCGACGTTGGGGATTTCGGGGCAGCTCCTTTTGCTTGCTATCAACAGGATTGCACGCTCCCTTCTCCACCCGCCCCTGTCCCGCGTTCCTTGCCCCCCGCAGGCCTCCCCTCGCGCCGATGGACTCCTTAGCGGCAGTCCTCAGGGCGGTGCAGGCAACTCGTCGGCCAGGAGTCCCCGCTCAGAGGTAAGCATGCCAGCCTCGCATGCATGCAGCACTTGACGGTGGCTCGACGTTGGGCATTTCGGGGCAGCTCCTTTTGCCTGCGTCAGATAAACGGGTAGCTCTGCGTTGACCGGTGCCATACGGTTGCTCACTGCACGCGCCCTCACCCATCCGCCCCTGCAAGGTTTTCAAGCGACCTCACCCATCCGCCCCTGCACGGATTACGCGCTCCCTTCTCCACCCGCCCCTGTCCCGCGTTCCTTGCCCCCCGCAGGCCTCCCCTCGCGCCGATGGACTCCTTAGCGGCAGTCCTCAGGGCGGTGCAGGCAACTCGTCGGCCAGGAGTCCCCGCTCAGAGGTAAGCATGCCAGCCTCGCATGCATGCAGCACTTGACGGTGGCTCGACGTTGGGCATTTCGGGGCAGCTCCTTTTGCCTGCGTCAGATAAACGGGTAGCTCTGCGTTGACCGGTGCCATACGGTTGCTCACTGCACGCGCCCTCACCCATCCGCCCCTGCAAGGTTTTCAAGCGACCTCACCCATCCGCCCCTGCACGGATTACGCGCTCCCTTCTCCACCCGCCCCTGTCCCGCGTTCCTTGCCCCCCGCAGGCCTCCCCTCGCGCCGATGGACTCCTTAGCGGCAGTCCTCAGGGCGGTGCAGGCAACTCGTCGGCCAGGAGTCCCCGCTCAGAGGTAAGCATGCCAGCCTCGCATGCATGCAGCACTTGACGGTGGCCCGACGTTGGGCATTTCGAGGCAGCTCCTTTTGTGTGCTGTCAACAGGATTACATGCTCCCTTCTCCACCCGCCCCTGTCCTGCGTTCCTTGACCCCCGCAGGCCTCCCCTCGCGCGGATGGACTCCTTAGTGGCCGTTCGCAGGGCGGTGCAGGCAACTCGTCGGCCAGGAGTCCCCGCTCGGAGGTAAGCATGCCAGCCTCGCATGCATGCAGCACTTGACGGTGGCTCGACGTTGGGCATTTCGGGGCAGCTCCTTTTGCCTGCGTCAGATAAACGGGTAGCTCTGCGTTGACCGGTGCCATACGGTTGCTCACTGCACGCGCCCTCACCCATCCGCCCCTGCAAGGTTTTCAAGCGACCTCACCCATCCGCCCCTGCACGGATTACGCGCTCCCTTCTCCACCCGCCCCTGTCCCGCGTTCCTTGCCCCCCGCAGGCCTCCCCTCGCGCCGATGGACTCCTTAGCGGCAGTCCTCAGGGCGGTGCAGGCAACTCGTCGGCCAGGAGTCCCCGCTCAGAGGTAAGCATGCCAGCCTCGCATGCATGCAGCACTTGACGGTGGCCCGACGTTGGGCATTTCGAGGCAGTTCCTTTTGTGTGCTGTCAACAGGATTACATGCTCCCTTCTCCACCCGCCCCTGTCCTGCGTTCCTTGACCCCCGCAGGCCTCCCCTCGCGCCGATGGACTCCTTAGCGGCAGTCCTCAGGGCGGTGCAGGCAACTCGTCGGCCAGGAGTCCCCGCTCAGAGGTAAGCATGCCAGCCTCGCATGCATGCAGCACTTGACGGTGGCCCGACGTTGGGCATTTCGAGGCAGTTCCTTTTGTGTGCTGTCAACAGGATTACATGCTCCCTTCTCCACCCGCCCCTGTCCTGCGTTCCTTGACCCCCGCAGGCCTCCCCTCGCGCGGATGGACTCCTTAGTGGCCGTTCGCAGGGCGGTGCAGGCAACTCGTCGGCCAGGAGTCCCCGCTCGGAGGTAAGCATGCCAGCCTCGCATGCATGCAGCACTTGACGGTGGCCCGACGTTGGGCATTTCGAGGCAGCTCCTTTTGCGTGCTGTCAACAGGATTGCACGCTTCCTTCTCCACCCGCCCCTGTCCCGCGTTCCTTGCCCCCCACAACTACAGCACCAGCAGGCCCCCCCTCGCGCAGATGGACTCCTTAGTGGCCGTTCGCAGGGCGGTGCAGGCAACTCGTCGGCCAGGAGTCCCCGCTCAGAGGTAAGCATGCCAGCCTCGCATGCATGCAGCATTTGACGGTGGCTCGACGTTGGGGATTTCGGGGCAGCTCCTTTTGCTTGCTATCAACAGGATTGCACGCTCCCTTCTCCACCCGCCCCTGTCCCGCGTTCCTTGCCCCCCGCAGGCCTCCCCTCGCGCCGATGGACTCCTTAGCGGCAGTCCTCAGGGCGGTGCAGGCAACTCGTCGGCCAGGAGTCCCCGCTCAGAGGTAAGCATGCCAGCCTCGCATGCATGCAGCACTTGACGGTGGCTCGACGTTGGGCATTTCGGGGCAGCTCCTTTTGCCTGCGTCAGATAAACGGGTAGCTCTGCGTTGACCGGTGCCATACGGTTGCTCACTGCACGCGCCCTCACCCATCCGCCCCTGCAAGGTTTTCAAGCGACCTCACCCATCCGCCCCTGCACGGATTACGCGCTCCCTTCTCCACCCGCCCCTGTCCCGCGTTCCTTGCCCCACGCAGGCCTCCCCTCGCGCCGATGGACTCCTTAGCGGCAGTCCTCAGGGCGGTGCAGGCAACTCGTCGGCCAGGAGTCCCCGCTCAGAGGTAAGCATGCCAGCCTCGCATGCATGCAGCACTTGACGGTGGCTCGACGTTGGGCATTTCGGGGCAGCTCCTTTTGCCTGCGTCAGATAAACGGGTAGCTCTGCGTTGACCGGTGCCATACGGTTGCTCACTGCACGCGCCCTCACCCATCCGCCCCTGCAAGGTTTTCAAGCGACCTCACCCATCCGCCCCTGCACGGATTACGCGCTCCCTTCTCCACCCGCCCCTGTCCCGCGTTCCTTGCCCCCCGCAGGCCTCCCCTCGCGCCGATGGACTCCTTAGCGGCAGTCCTCAGGGCGGTGCAGGCAACTCGTCGGCCAGGAGTCCCCGCTCAGAGGTAAGCATGCCAGCCTGGCATGCATGCAGCACTTGACGGTGGCCCGACGTTGGGCATTTCGAGGCAGCTCCTTTTGTGTGCTGTCAACAGGATTACATGCTCCCTTCTCCACCCGCCCCTGTCCTGCGTTCCTTGACCCCCACAGGCCTCCCCTCGCGCGGATGGACTCCTTAGTGGCCGTTCGCAGGGCGGTGCAGGCAACTCGTCGGCCAGGAGTCCCCGCTCGGAGGTAAGCATGCCAGCCTCGCATGCATGCAGCACTTGACGGTGGCTCGACGTTGGGCATTTCGGGGCAGCTCCTTTTGCCTGCGTCAGATAAACGGGTAGCTCTGCGTTGACCGGTGCCATACGGTTGCTCACTGCACGCGCCCTCACCCATCCGCCCCTGCAAGGTTTTCAAGCGACCTCACCCATCCGCCCCTGCACGGATTACGCGCTCCCTTCTCCACCCGCCCCTGTCCCGCGTTCCTTGCCCCCCGCAGGCCTCCCCTCGCGCCGATGGACTCCTTAGCGGCAGTCCTCAGGGCGGTGCAGGCAACTCGTCGGCCAGGAGTCCCCGCTCAGAGGTAAGCATGCCAGCCTCGCATGCATGCAGCACTTGACGGTGGCCCGACGTTGGGCATTTCGAGGCAGTTCCTTTTGTGTGCTGTCAACAGGATTACATGCTCCCTTCTCCACCCGCCCCTGTCCTGCGTTCCTTGACCCCCGCAGGCCTCCCCTCGCGCCGATGGACTCCTTAGCGGCAGTCCTCAGGGCGGTGCAGGCAACTCGTCGGCCAGGAGTCCCCGCTCAGAGGTAAGCATGCCAGCCTCGCATGCATGCAGCACTTGACGGTGGCCCGACGTTGGGCATTTCGAGGCAGTTCCTTTTGTGTGCTGTCAACAGGATTACATGCTCCCTTCTCCACCCGCCCCTGTCCTGCGTTCCTTGACCCCCGCAGGCCTCCCCTCGCGCGGATGGACTCCTTAGTGGCCGTTCGCAGGGCGGTGCAGGCAACTCGTCGGCCAGGAGTCCCCGCTCGGAGGTAAGCATGCCAGCCTCGCATGCATGCAGCACTTGACGGTGGCCCGACGTTGGGCATTTCGAGGCAGCTCCTTTTGCGTGCTGTCAACAGGATTGCACGCTTCCTTCTCCACCCGCCCCTGTCCCGCGTTCCTTGCCCCCCACAACTACAGCACCAGCAGGCCCCCCCTCGCGCAGATGGACTCCTTAGTGGCCGTTCGCAGGGCGGTGCAGGCAACTCGTCGGCCAGGAGTCCCCGCTCAGAGGTAAGCATGCCAGCCTCGCATGCATGCAGCATTTGACGGTGGCTCGACGTTGGGGATTTCGGGGCAGCTCCTTTTGCTTGCTATCAACAGGATCGCACGCTCCCTTCTCCACCCGCCCCTGTCCCGCGTTCCTTGCCCCCCGCAGGCCTCCCCTCGCGCCGATGGACTCCTTAGCGGCAGTCCTCAGGGCGGTGCAGGCAACTCGTCGGCCAGGAGTCCCCGCTCAGAGGTAAGCATGCCAGCCTCGCATGCATGCAGCACTTGACGGTGGCCCGACGTTGGGCATTTCGGGGCAGCTCCTTTTGCCTGCGTCAGATAAACGGGTAGCTCTGCGTTGACCGGTGCCATACGCCTCCGTTCCTCTGATTTGCACGCCCCTTACCTGTATTGTAGCATGCTGGGCTGAATCGTATGTCCCCAACACTGGCCGAACTCTCCGTCTCCCACCTCTGTTGCTCACTGCACGCGCCCTCACCCATCCGCCCCTGCAAGGATTACACGCTCCCTTCCCCACCTGCTCGTGTCCCTGCGTTCTCCCGCGTCACGCTCCCTTCCCCACCGCCCCTGCAACTACCGCCTCCCGCTCCTACCGGGCGCAGGCCTCCCCTCGTTCAGCTGCCGCTTTTGGCGGCTGCAAGCGGCCTGTACCTATGCTGTCACCGGTAAGGGGTGTTGTCATAGGAGGCTTTCCCATACTGTTTGCGTGTTGGCAACTCTCACACGTACACGGTTGTACCTACAGGGGACCGAGCACAAACTCCAAGGCGGGGGTTTGCGCTACCATGGCGGCCGTCCGCATAACAAGAAGGCTAAGCGGCAATGTGTTCCGGCAAAAGGCCCTTCCGTTGACACCGCAATGGAGGAGGCTCTCGACGAGGTTGAGGAGGTGTGTGATATGCAGTTGGGCATCTGTGCACTAATGAGACGATTAGCTATTAACTCGTATATGTATTTTGGAATCTTGCTTGCTTAGGGAATAGGGGGGGGGTTGGTGCAGCTCTGATGCAAAAGAGAACCCTTGACCTTTGGGCCCTTTTCCTTGCCGCACCACTCAGATCACGACCATTAGCAATCTGGTATTCACCGTCGACTCCCCCGCTGCTGTCCCAAAAGCCATTAACGATTCTGGCGTTGCCATCCTCCATGACTCGGACATCTGCAAGACAGTCACCCCTGAAGCAGTTGAGCGAGCATTGCAACACGGGAGAAAGTCTGAAGCCATCTTCCAGGGCATTGCGCAAAAGCGGAATGGGGAGTTCGTGCCGGAGCGCGACCACAAGGGGAAACCCACTGGCTATCTGATGTCCACGTACGGATCTCGACAGCGGCAGCAGTGCCCTATCGACCCTGACAACCCTGACGATGCCGATGTGCTGGCAGATTTCCGCGGTAGGCATGGGGAAACCCGTGCTATGCATGGGAAAACCCGTGGTTTGTATGCATGTGCGGGTAAATAGTTTGCTGGAACATCTTAGCCTACCGTCCAGACTTCTTGAGTTGCTGTATCCTCGAGTCGCACTTCGTATTGGCTCACACCCTTTTCATCATTCCCTTTGCACGTTGCCAGGTCTGGTGGAGCCCAAGATCAAGGAGGCTATGGCAGGAATGGGTGATGCCAACCTCAAGCTCGACCCTCCCAGCATCCTGCTAAATACCCAATCCGAGAGGCAAAAGCCTGTGGCACGACAGGGCAACCACACGGACCTGGCTAAAGGGCAAAAGGGCGGTGTTGTAATAGCGGCGGTGCAGAAGATGCGGCTCCTGCTGTACCCAGACAGCAACCGCGTGCTGGCACGGTATTGGCAGCTGGAGGAGCTCGTTGACAGCGGCGTGATTACGGAGGAGGACTTGCTGGCGTGGGTCCAGATGCGCAAGTTCAAAGCAGTTAGGGTAGAGCTTGACGCTGGCGACATCATCTTCCTAGATGGCCATACAGTGCATGCGGGTGACTGCGGTATGGACGACTACCCTTCACTCCGTCTACACTGGTACTTCCTGGACGGCCAGAAGGAGAACGAGACCACGCACCTTATCGTGTATGGTGACGCCTTTGCTGCGCGGATAGTACAGGAGCAGAGCCACTGCTGGGCACTTTTGTCGACGGTGGCCCATGGGGCATACAAGGGCGGGGGTCGTTGACATGCATCTCTGCAGCTTTTTGCTACCATGTTGGGTACCGGGACCTGTGCATTTGCGGGTGATAAAGGCAGCGTATGTTAACATGACGGGAGGGCAAGCATGTGAAAGTTAACGTCGTGACTTAGTTATGGTTTTCCAGGCCTGTGGCTTTGGTCGATTGATGAGCAACAGGCTCCTTTCCAGCCCTCCTAGCACATTGTGTTTCGTGCCGTTTATATGTTATGGCTTTCTGTTGTTGCTGTCCACCTACGCTTTGCTTGTTGCGACGGGTATAGCAGCCTTGCGTGCAATGTGATACACAGTCGAGGGTTCCAAAGATGTGGACACTTGTGACGGTGGCCCATGGGACATACCGGGGCGGGGGTCGTTGACATGCATCTCTGCAGCTTTTTACTTCCATGTTGGGTACGGGGCCTGTGCATTTGCGGTGGTAAAGGCAGCGTATGATAACGTGACGGGAGGGCAAGCATGTGGAAGTTGCCGTTGTGACTTAGTTATGGTTTTCCAGGCCTGTGGCTTTGGTCAATTGATGACCAGCAGGCTCCTTTCCAGCCCTCCAAGCACATTGTGTTTCGTGCCGTTTATATGTTATGGCTCTCTGTTGTTGCTGTCCACCTACGCTTTGCTTGTTGCGACGGGTATGGCAGCCTTGCGTGCAATGTGATACACAGTCGAGGGTTCCGAGGATGTGAACACTTGTGCTTCTACAGGGGGCGCTCCGACAGGTGGGCTGTATCGGCATGTAGCATAGTCGCTATGTGCGAGGCCGTGTTGAGTTCATTGGTAGCCTTCTCATCGGGGGTAGCATGCCGGACTGTCCAATTTTACAGAACCCTGAGGGAATTCCTGTCACTAAAGCCCCGCTCGTTTGCTGGTTGAAGTTTTGTTTGGCTAAACATTGTTGGCGCCTCTAAATAGGGTGCCAAAAGCCTGGATGGAGTGCGCACTCCACATGCCTTGTTCTCGATCCTTCCACGTACTCCTAGTTGTTCAGGCGCTCATTCAGGGCCCTCACACAATTAAAGATTCCAAGTCCACAGGACACGTCTTGTTCGGATAAAGCGCTTTCCGTACAAGGTTACTTTCCACCATATTGAACCACATCAGCTGCTCTCCTTGGCTCATTAGGATGATTCCCATCTTTGTAACATTGAGTATAAAGCTGCATACCAGGCTTGTTTACACGTTCGTCGTCTCAACAGTCGTCCAACCTCCTTTCGGGCTGCTTGCCAGCATCTTTCACTCACTTGATTACCTCAACTCATTCAGCATTGATGGCAGCGCTTATCGCAGCGCCCAAACATACTCTTTTCCTGAGACACGGGTTTAAAGCATTATGTCAGAATACCAAAACGTGTGATAGCTTCCATAGCGGCAATGCTGAAAATGCCAAGAAGCCTGCTCTTACGCTCCACGGCACATGCCAGGGCACAAAGGGCGGCCAGACATCCTGCCCGCCATGTTACCTTTGCCCGCATGAAGCCTGCTGTGAGCAGTGGAGCCGGGTTGGAACTAAAACCCCGTTTTGCTCAAATGCCTGCCTTGCGGCGCATTTCAAGATTCACCATGGGTTCGACGCCTCGGCCCTGGTAGAGTACCTGTCTCCCGAGTACGCCGCCTTGATGTATGCAGACCTTGTCGACTTTATGAACGGTGAGGGTTTGTATGTTGCGGTGTATCATTAGGTTACAGTTTAACACTGCTCCCTACAACTTGCAACCCTGACAGACCCCGCTTGGAAGGGGAAGGGGACCCCTTCCAAGTACGAGGAGTACTTCAACAGCTTGATGGAAGCCATTGCGGAGAAGTACCCAAACACGCAGCAGCTGGCGGGCGCACATGACAGGTGAGACTGGCTGGAAGGTACTGCGGCACACGGAATGGGTCAGGGACGGCTGGTCGAGGCAGGGATACACATGCATGTGGCGAATGAGAGCTGGGGCCGGTCAATACCTGCCCCGTCATCTCCCTTAAGCATATCTCAGTCACATTCCTTACGATCACAACGCTTTCCCATCCATACCTAACCGTGAGAACATCACCTGGCCCTTTTGGCTCTTCACAGGATGTCCAGCGCTGTACTGGACGAGCTGGGACTGCCATGCCACACGCCGGGTCCGTTGCTACCACCGTATACGGTAGATGACCCCCTCAGCCACCTCCGCAGGATGGTCGCCGAGAACACCCTCCAGGCGCATGTCCATACACTCCGGAAGGAGGTATCCGACGTGGACCAGGCAGCGGCTGATAGCCTGAAGCAGGATGCGGTGGCTGTCGCCACTGCAGCTGCCTGGTACCTTGGCGGGCGTGAGGGCACCTTGGGCTTGATGAACGTTCCCTCCGCAACGAGCTACACCAATTCAGCCGGGGGCAATACCACGTTTACATGCCAAACCTGCCATAGTCTCCTGAACTTCACTGCTTATGGGGTGCTTCCTGCCGGTAAGCCGCTGATGCATGGCCCTGGCCCTTATCATAGTCGCAAAGACGGATGCATATGTTACCTGGGGCATGAGGACACGTCAATGCGAACCCCTGATCTCCGTATCTATTTTTCGTGCCTGCGAGCTGCACTTAAATCACTACTGAGGTTGCCTACCGCATTGCCCTGCAAAAAACGGCGACCCCTACAGGTGAAGCAAGCAAGTTAAAGGAGTCTTTCCCTGAGTTCTACTGCACCCGTGGTTGCCTGCCTCCGCGCCACATGGACTCTGCAAAGCTCTACCGCCTTCTTGGTAAGTCGTCCTAGTAAGGGCTCAAATGCGAGGATGTAGCCTACAGGGGGTACAGGGAATGTGGGCATATTGCGTGTCGTCTGCCTCTTTTAGGGGACGCTTTAATCTGAATGGGAGGTTGCCCAAAGGGAGCTCCGTCCGGCACGTTGGGGATTGGATAACCTCCGTCCGGCACGTTGGGGACAGGGAAGGGCAAGGGCTTGCTGCATGGGTATCCTGCCAGCATTTCACCAAACCGTCGCCAACTATGGCTGCAGAGATGGAGACGTGCCAACAAGCCTACAAGCTCGTAAATTGGCTGCACGTCGAGGGCATGCCACCATACATACCTTTGAGCTCAACCAACCCGTACAAGACGACACTCACACAACAGCTGCCCAGTGGTCAGCTTGACCGCCTCGACCCGCCCTTCGACGTGCAGACAGGGAGGCCGCCGCTGGTTACTAAGGCAAGTGCTTGGCCATCCCAAACACAGAGCAGGGCGGGTGGGTGCACAGCGGCGCTTGATTGTTACTTGGTATCTATCATGGACACAGGGAAAAAGAGCCGTAGGGTGACATGGATGCAACTACTTGTAGCCTTGCTCTATGTGAAGCTGGCCGTGGTATTCGTGCATGCAGGACTGGCTTACGGCAGAGCTTGGGCGCAACCATGCCTGCACAGGTCTTACAAGTGTGGAGAACTGCGTTGCAGCAGTGTTCGCACCCAAGAACAAGTCATACCGCCTTGTCAATCTGAACGTGAGTGGCCGGATGGACCAATGACTTGTTACCACATCAATGGATGAGGAGCTAGCTTTAGTGGTGAAGCACTGCCGTATATACCCCATGCCAGTTACGCCTTCTTTTCTGATTGCTGTGCTGTTCGCAACAGCCGATACCACCGCCAAGTGTGCAGGTATGTCTCCCTATAACTACCGGCCGTTCCTATGCAGGTCCCCAGCGGCTCTAGCTCCTGGCTTTACGACATCCGGGTTGCGGCAGTCAACCCCGGGGACTTCTTGGGCACGTCATCCAACGTCAATTTGCGGGACAGCACCCTGGTGCTGTGTGGGGCGAAAGGCAAGTCACCATGGATGTGGGTACGAAACGGGGTTTAGGGGCCAATGGAGGCCAGCAGGCTTGCCAATCTGCATGGAGGGCGCGTTTCACAGTTCGTGGTACACACTCCGCAAGCATCATGGCATAAGTGGTGTCCTTTGCCCCGTACAGGTACGGGAACGGCGTGCCACATGGACCGCACGGAGGCGTTCAACGTGTTGTTCGCCCCTGAGCGGGAGGACGTGGATGCGTCAAAGCCGTGCGCGCTGTGGACATTTGTACGCCCAAGTGCCATTGGGGCGTTTGGTGATTTCCTCAGCAAGCACCCTGCATCGCCCGGCGTCGACAAAAGTGCAAAGAAGGACAAGAAGGACAGCAGTGTCGTCGAGTGGGAACTACTGGCTGCAGCAACCTTGAAGGAGAAACGGCTGTCACCTGATGGCTCCCGCAATGCATTTCACGGTGGGCCTCTTGTGGATGGGGGCAGTGCGAACGTGTTCCGGCCATTCGTGCGTGACGTGAACGAGTTGAGGGCGGCTCTAGGGGAGAATAACGTGGTGGTGATTGAGCAGTACCATGGTGATGTCGTGCACGTGCCGGCAGGATGGATACATCAGGTGGAAAACGTGCAGGCCTGCCTGAAGCTTGCCTGGGATACTCTCAACCCCCGGCGTTTGGTGCATTACTTTGGAGTGCAACGCCTGGTGGTGCACCACGGGCTGTGGGGCTATAGCCCTGAAGACTACATGGCGATAGAGGCTGTACTTGCAAAGGCCATTCCAGAGATCATGAGGCATGTCCAATCAAAGTGAGGGGTGTAGGTACTTTGCACTGTCAAAGGGCCCCGTGGACAGCACAATCGCTTGTAGGTAATTGTGTGGGTGTTGTTTGGGATGTACAGACGCAGTCTTAGGCTTAGCTTTACTCCGGGTGCCTGCTGCATCCGATTGGCAGCGGGTGCGTTGGGATGGGAGGGGACTGCTGTACGGACCGGAAAGGTGGCGTTCTCAAGGCTGCAGCCAGCTAGGGGGCTGCAGGCTTAGCTTTTCACCGGGTGACTGCTTTTCCTTTAAGAATGCTGGCAGCGTTTGCGTTGTGATGGGAGGGGACTGCTCGCCGTACGGACTGGAAGGGTGGAGTCGGACTGGAAGGGTGGAATCCTCAAGGCTTTAGGGCTGAATTGTAACTGCTGGGTTTTATTGCTAAAGCGTGCGCGTGTGTTTGCTGCAAGAATGCTGGCAGCGTTTGCGTTGTGATGGGAGGGGACTGCTTGCCGTACGGACTGGAAGGGTGGAGTCCTCAAGGCTTTAGGGCTGAATTGTAACTGCTGGGTTTTATTGCTAAAGCTTGAGCGTGTGTTTCCCTCGGTAATACGGCGTCGTATACCTAGGTCTACATTTTAAAATGTTCGCACTAAGCCATGCGAACAACATGCTTTGCCTGACGTGCGCTGAGGGTGTCATGCAGACGCGTCGTGAACAAAGGCGCATGTGAGTTCGGGGATTAGGCGGGCGGGGGCCATGAGTGAGGGCTGCGAGTATGCACCGGCTAGTGTGTTATGTCAATGCGGTGTGTTCCAGACGGTTGCAAACCCAATACCAATGTAGTTTGTTACACTGACAGCATTCGATTTGCCTATGGCAAGGCCTTAATTGCGCTGATTAGCAGACTGCAGTGCGACCGCAATGGCCACTGTTGAAAGCTGGGAGCGCGCACTCCACGAACAGCGCCATGAAAACTATGACTATGCTGTATTAACCAGCAGCTGCTGAGCATTTCAGAGGCTTTCGTATGCAAATGCGCCACACTGAGCATACTGTCTGTAACAGGGTGTGCCGGATTGCATCCTTCCATGCTGTGCACAAGATTGTAAGTCAAGATCAGTTTGGCAGTAAATAGAAACATCAGATGTAACCTCTGATATGCTTAATGGGGGCTTAGTGGACCTCGTTGCTTACTTGAAGCCTTCCCTTCAACCACTCCGTACTGTAATGGCTATGATGCCTTTGGCAATTCCTGAACTTGTGCTCGCCGATTGTTATAGAAACATTCGATTAGACTTACAATACAAGAACGTGTAGGCCAATTGTGTAGCGAATGGGCCCCTCTGACCTGGACGCGGAGCGTGAAGCGACCATGGCTAGGAACAATGCCATTCTGGACGAGATTGGCTTAGGAAATGCCTGCAAGGAGTTCAAGGATGCTGCGGCTAAACTTAGGCCAGTGTCGGGCAAGAAGCGGCAACAAAGCACTAAAGGTCCGCCACTCCGCAAGTCTTCCCGTCTGGAGGGGCGACCCCAGCCAGGCAACGACCAGGAAGTTAGCGACGAAGATGAGGAGAATGAGGCTGCTGTAAGCCTGGATTCTGAGGAGGAGAAGAACGGGACGGTAAGCAATTGACCTCGTTTGACCGTGGCAATTCGTTCATAATCAGCCACATTTCGTTGAAAATAGCATGTAACTTTCAGGTAACGGACGGCGACGAGGCACCTGAGCTGTGGTCGGATGAGCAGGAGGGCTGGGCAACCGGTCAAGGATGGAATCTCGAGGATGGACCCGGCGAGCTGCTTCACAGGCTGGCGTTGTTCCAGGTCATCGGCATTAGAATGGATCAGCGCGAGTCCTTCTTGCGGTGGTACAAGAACTCGCGGATTATGACTGTCGAGGGCATTACCGCTCAAGACCTGAAGATGCCATGCGCCTTCACGACTATGTTTGATGCGGGGATACAAGAGCGCCTCACGCAGGTGAGATGCTAAGTATGTAGGAGGATGCTCCGTTCTATAGATATATTAATCCGTGCATGGATAGATAGCAAGTAGGAATGACCCGTGGGTTATTTTTCTTGTAATGACTGTTAGTTCCGACGATTCCCTCTCCTGCTTCCCATGTATGGCCCCATAGGTATCACGAAAGTCGGGCTCGTTGCCAACACCAGGCGGCCCCTCCCTCGGGTCGTCCTCTGCTAACCAGCGGCAGGGAAAACGTACCAGCGAGAAGGTGACCAAGAAGATTGAGAGCGTGTACGGGCAGGCTGTGTTGGCGAGCCGGGAGGCCTTCAAGAGCCTGGAGGTAAGTTACGATTTGGGAGGGCTGTACGGACCTTTCCTGTGGCTTCACTCATTAACACCTGCAACATAAAAGCGCTGTGGTTGTACGTTTGGATTGCCGACCTTTACCATGTGGCAACTTTGTTACACGCTGCCCCCCCCCCCGCACACACAGCCCTCGGTGATGGAGGCAAACGACTTGAAGATCATCAAAGACATGGGGGAGCACATCCGGTGCCTGCTGGGCGTGGGACAAGGTGCGCCCATGGAGACAGTGAAGGCCAGGCTGCGGCAGGCGGTGCAAGTGAAGGCTAAGAACATGCGCCGATGCAGCAAGCCAAGTGAGTTTTGCAAGGGAAATCAAGGGGCATATGTCCTACCTTTAAGCGGGTTTTACCTTTCATGACACACACGCCTTATTGCGGCCTGTTTTACGTTGTTACACGTTGTTTCCCCGCCCTTGCCGAACCCATGTCTCCTTCCATCCCTCCCGTTATAGAAGACGTGAACCTGGACACGGTCGATGAGGAGGAAGGCCTGCAGCCGGCATCACCATCAGCACCGGGTGAGGAGGAGGAGCCAGCCACGCCCGAGGTGCCCAAGCCGTACATGTGGGCTAAGCTGCCTGGAGGGGACACGGAGAAGTACGCTGCGGCTGACAACCACCTCGACTGGCTGGCGGACTTCGACATAGGGGACAACGCAGGGTGCATCCTTGTGGGAAGCCTGGACAAGGACGAGTTGGTTCCGGTAACACTTGGCTGCGGCCTGCTGCTGGACCCACTGGTAAGTAGCCTTGCTGGGCTTTTACATCTGTGTCGTTACGTTCTGGCTGGTGCCGCAAGTATGCTGCACCCCCTTGAGCTCATCTCTTGCAGCAGTCGCATACCTTCTGTCCTGGCAACCCCATGCGCAAAACCAAGGTTTGTTCGATTGTATGTTCCCGCACTGACGTGTTAGGACGCCAAGACCGACCCGGCGGCTACCGTTGACGTCCTGGTCTTTGGCATCAACACTAACGTCAAGCGCACCAAGAACGCTTACATGCCGTCCAGTGTGGGCGGCAAGACTAGCACCTTTGCGCTGGAGGAGAAGGACAAAGACGGCAAGCTGGTACGCAAGCTTGCAAGGTCCCAGACGGTAAGCTGTAGGGGGTATCGTTGACGTCCTAGGACCCAGGGTGTGTGTTAAAATAACCCGCCAGTGCTCACCCTTCAATCTCTTCGCAACTGTTGTCTTCCAACCCAAGAACCGAGCAATCCATTTAGGTCTTATTGCAAGCAATTGCCTAACTTTCATCTTATCTTGTCCTTACCGTGTCATGCAGGTCAAGTGGCCTGTCATGGGCATCCTGCCCACATTCAATGGTAGCACCGGCATAACGGTGTCCATGACTTTCTACGGGACTCGCGAGAAGGACATCGCCACCATCAAGACGTGCCTAGCGCAGAAGCGGCAGGCACGCGCTGTTGAGGGGAAGTAGTAGAATGCGTAGGCTTGTGTGGCGTACAGCGTCCTTGGTTTTACCCCTTTACTCCCTGGACGGATGGCCACATAGTGAGGATCATAATACGACTCTGAGATGCACAAAGGAAGCACACCGGTGCATGGCATGGGGAAGGCATCTGGACCAACGAGACAGCGTATTGCCTGTTGTGACCATGTGCGTCGCAGATGGATGCTTTGCGTTAAACAGACTGTACCTATGTGTTTCACATCATGCCGTCGAAATGACAATTCGGCCCAGGTGCATAGGGCATAGCGTGGGGGAGCGTGTTGTGTTCAGTTGCATTACCGCATAGCATTACGTTAGGACACCCGTTTTTACCAACACACATGTTGCTTCATGTTGGAGACTCAGTAATTGGCTTTGGAGTTGCTTGGTGGCAGAGTGAAGGAGCTAACCTGTCATACGGCATATATATTCCTCTACTTGTTTTGGATGTTAACTGGGCAGGCCCTCATCTGGGGCGTAGTGCCAACACCTGAAGAATGACGAAATCAAAGAAGAGCATAAGAGCCCTAACTTCTTGCTTGTTGTGAATGAATGGTTGACAGTTACAATAGTTCGTGTTGTGTCCTTCTGTCATGGTGCTGCCAAGCAGCATTCAACCGTCAACTGGGCTCCTCATTGGCCCTTTTTAACCTGACGACCCCTGTTTACCTAATCAGTCAGCACACGGGCTCCCAGCTAATCCCTTTTTATCTAATCCGTCAGCACTCGTGCACGGCTCCCAGCTAATCCCTTTTTATCTAATCCGTCAGCACTCGTGCACGGCTCCCAGCTAATCCCTTTTTATCTAAGCCGTCAGCACCCGTGCACGGCTCCCATCTAATCCCTTTTTATCTAAGCCGTCAGCACTCGTGCATGGCTCCCAGCTAATCCCTTTTTATCTAAGCCGGCAGCACTCGTGCACGGCTCCCAGCTAATCCCTTTTTATCTAATCCGTCAGCACCCGTGCACGGCTCCCAGCTAATCCCTTTTTATCTAATCCGTCAGCACCCGTGCACGGCTCCCAGCTAATCCCTTTTTATCTAATCCGTCAGCACTCGTGCACGGCTCCCAGCTAATCCCTTTTTATCTAATCCGTCAGCACTCGTGCACGGCTCCTAGGTAATCCACGTTAATCTAATCTGCCTGTGCATGGTTTTGGCTTAACATGGATTACAGTAACCCCAGCAAATCCAACTTGAACCATTCTAATCGGATTACCATGCTTGCACAACTGCACGTGCACAGTCGGATCAGATCAATTGTAATCCCTTTCGATCCCCGTTAAGTCGGAAATCCGGAAATTTTGATCCGTGGTAATCCGGGATCATCCAGCTCAAAGTCGTGTACACGAGAACGGATTAACAGCCAAAACAGCTGCGGATTAACCCATAGGGGCCGTTGGTAGGGAAACCCGTTGGAGGGACGAGGGGGTGGTGAGGGGAGTGGGGAGCATGAAGGGGGGTGGGAGGGCGTGTCGAAACCCATGCCGTACTGTGTTGCCGTACGACACCACATCTCAGGACACCATCCTGATGATGCCAGGCATGATGAGTGATGAGGGGGTGATGAGGGGAGTGGGGAGCACGGAGGGGGGTGGGAGGGCGTGTCAAAACCCATGCCGTACAGATGCATGGGACGCTGTCGTACACTGCCGTACAGCTGTCGTACATAGTCGTACATGTCGTACACCACATGATGTGTCACCACACAGCATGGCAACTGTGCCGTACAGTTTGCTGCCGTACAGTGTGTTGTCGTACTCGAGATCTCCCAGAACACCATCCCCATAGGCCCACGCATCATCTCCAAGGGTGCTGAGGAAGTCGCCAAGAGGTCGGTACCCGGCTCGAACTGGAGACCTCTGGCTGGCTGAGGATAGGACTGAACGCTCAGCGCCTTAAGGTCGTTGCCGCCACTTTTGTGGACAGACAGACAGACGGACGGACGGACGGATAGTGCCGCGTCGTTGCCGCGGCCGGGGGTACCGTAAATCCCTTGGTGCCCCGTAGTCGTTATGGTTCCAGTTGGCGTATATGTACAACGAGTAGGGCAACAATGCATATATACGTAGGGACGATGCGTTAGGCGACAATGCGTAGGGGAACAATGCGTAGGGAAAGAATGCGTAGGACGACAATGCGTAAGGCAACAATGCGTAGGATAATAATGCGCAGGGAGACAATGCGTAGGGCAACAATACGTAGGGTGACAATGCGTAGGGGCGAAAGGTAGGGGCGAAAGAGAGAGTGGGGGAGGGAGTGCCGGGAGAGAGAGAAAGAGAGAGAAAGACGGAGGTAGGAGGAATGGAGGGAACTAGAAGAGAGGTGGAAATAGCCACAAAAAGGCTGAAAATTGCCAATGAATGCTAAGTGATGACGCAATGTGCGGTCGGAGATGGATACGTAGGTGGCACCTAATACGGACAGTTTCTTGTTTGCTGGTTGCAGCCGTTGCCGCATGGTTGCAATTGTTCTGCACGGATTTGTACACCGTTGAGTTCGATGTATTAGTACCTGCCGGATCATTGGGGTCTTTGCAGTTGGTCAGTCAAAACACGGCTGTTGACCGTGTGACAAACGGAAGGCGCATCTTGTATATGTCGCTTGTCAATTGGTTAATGCAGTTGTTTACGAGCTAGCTGTTAACGGTCGAGAGCATGGGGCGTTTCGTGTACGTTGATCGGCATATGGTTAATCGAACACTGGTTATTTTGCCGTCATTCAGAAGTCGTCTCAAGGTAGTTTCGCTGTTGCTAAAATAACATTCTGCAGTCATTAAACGGTCCTTGTCCGTTTACGCAAAGAAGATACCATACGTGATACCGGCTTAAAGATCAGCGTCCTTCCACCGCCTAGCCGTACACGCATTGTATAGTTCACCCGTCTGGTCGTATACGCGTTGTACATTGTACCGTTGCCGTACACATTATCGCCCTACACATCGTTACCCTACGCATTGTCGCCCCACGCCTTATCGGCCTACGCAATGTTGCCCTACACATTGTTACCCTACACATTGTTGTCTTACGCATTGTTGCCCTACGCATTGTTTTCCTACGCATTGTTCCTACGCATCGTTGCTCTACGCATTGTCGCCCTACGCTTTCTAGGGTGCTGTTTTCCTACAAAAACGCATTGTCTTCCTACGCATTGTTCATACGCATTGTTGCCCCTACGCATTGTCGCCCCACGCATCGATCCCCGACGCATTGTCGCCCCGCGCCTTCTCGGCGTACGCATTATTGCCCTACGCCTTGTTGCACCTTGTCGCCCTACGCATTGTTACCCCACGCATCGTCACCCTACGCATTGTTTCTCTACGCATTGTTCTTACACATTGTCGCCCTACGCATTGTCATGCAACGTGTTGTTCCATAACACACGGTTACCCAAAAACGCGTTGTTTTCCTACGCATTGTTCTGATGCATTGTTGGCCCTACGCATGGTCGCCCTACGCATCGTTGCCCAAATGCATCGTCGCCCTACGCCTTCTCGGCCTACGCATTGTTGCACTACGCATTGTTACACCTTCTCGCCCTACGCATTGTTGCCCTACGCATTGTTGCCCTACGCATTATTATCCAACATATTCTTCAATAACGCATTGCTACCCAAAAACGCATTGTTTTCCTACGCATTGTTCTTACGCATTGTTCTTACGCATTGTTCTTAAGCGTTGTTCTTACGCATTGTTCGTTCCTATGCATTGTCACCCTACGCATTGTTACACCTTCTCGTCCTACGCATTGTCGCCCTACGCATTGTTTCCCTACGCATTATTTCTACGCATCGCTGCCCTACGCATTGTTATCCAACGTATTCTTCCCTTACGCATTGTTACCCTACGCATTACTGCTATACGCATTGTCGCCCAACGGATTATCGCCCAACGCATTATTATTTTACACTTTGTTGCCCACCGCATTGTTACCCTACGCATTGTTATCCAACGTATTCTTCCCTTACGCATTGTTACCCTACGCATTACTGCTATACGCATTGTTGCCCAAGAGATTAGCGCCCAACGCATTATTATTTTACACTTCGTTGCCCACCGCATTGTTACCCTACGCATTGTAGTACGCATTGTATTGCGCACCCCCCTGTGTGTCGTCCTACGTATTGTAAACACTGTTTTGCGCCCACTCTCTCTCTCCCCAGGACGGACTCGTTTGCGACGCCGTTCTCCAGCCGCTCCAGCTCAAGCCGTGCCTGGCCGGCTACGCCAAACACTAGGTACCAATACGGCACAACCACTCCGCCGCTCACACATTGCCTGCGCCTGGCCGTATACGCATTGCAACGATGCATCGTCAACGCACAATACGCAATACGTAACGACATAGCCGTGTAGCGCAGCCGACATAGCGACCAAAACGGTCCCCCCGTCATATGGCATGTGCGCATTGTCCTATGGCGTTTACGCATTGTTTCCCTACGCATTATTCCTACGCATCGCTGCCCTATGCATTGTTATTCAACGTATTCTTCCCTTACGCATTGTTACCCTACGCATTACTGCTATACGCATTGTTGCCCAAGAGATTATCGCCCAACGCATTATTATTTTACACTTTGTTGCCCACCGCATTGTTACCCTACGCATTGTTATCCAACGTATTCTTCCCTTACGCATTGTTACCCTACGCATTACTGCTATACGCATTGTTGCCCAACGGATTATCGCCCAACGCATTATTATTTTACACTTCGTTGCCCACCGCATTGTTACCCTACGCATTGTAGTACGCATTGTATTGCGCACCCCCCTGTGTGTCGTCCTACGTATTGTAAACACTGTTTTGCGCCCACTCTCTCTCTCCCCAGGACGGACTCGTTTGCGACGCCGTTCTCCAGCCGCTCCAGCTCAAGCCGTGCCTGGCCGGCTACGCCAAACACTAGGTACCAATACGGCACAACCACTCCGCCGCTCACACATTGCCTGCGCCTGGCCGTATACGCATTGCAACGATGCATCGTCAACGCACAATACGCAATACGTAACGACATAGCCGTGTAGCGCAGCCGACATAGCGACCAAAACGGTCCCCCCGTCATATGGCATGTGCGCATTGTCCTATGGCGCTTACGCATTGTCCTATGGCGTGTACGTATTGTCCTATGGCGTTTACACACTGACGTTTACACGATGTCGTTTACACACTGTCATTTACGCATCGTGTTAGACGCATTGTCTTATGACATTTACGCATTGTCCTACGACATGTACGTATTGTACTATGGCATGGACGCTTTTGTTTGCGTCACACCATGCCGTACTGTACGACAAGGTGAAATGCCCTACGCATTGTTCCTACGCATCGTCGCCCTACGCATTGTTATTCAACGTATTCTTCCATAACGCATTCTTACCCTACGCATTACTGCCCTACGCACTGTTGCCCTACGGATTAATGCCCAGCGCATTCTTGTGATGGTTGTGGCATGCTGTACAGATGTACGGTAATGTACGGACAGTGTTAGACGCATCGTGTTAGACGCATTGTCTTATGACATTTACGCATTGTCCTACGATATGTACGTATCGTACTATGGCAGGTCATAACCCAAGTGGGGCCGGGGGCGGGAGGCCGTGTCGAAACCCAAGCCGTACTGTACTGCCAGTTGTTGTGGCCAGGGGGGGATGGTGCCAGGAATCACAAGGAGGGCTGGGGTGACGTGTAG